GAATTAACAGGGAGATTCTGTGTTTTGTTTATAGGTTTAGATCTTTACATTTGCTAAATTACCTTGACCTAAAGAAATGCAAGTGCTATCTTTATGCAGGGGAAGGCAAATGTTATAATGTAGTCATTTTTCTGATTTCTAAGGAATGCATTGTGGAGATGCAAATGCTAGGTGCCCATTGCTAAAATCTTCTTTAGCTGGCTCCTTGGTCATTAGTTTACCAATTAAAAAAATTAGTAAACCAATTTAAAAAATTGGCTTCTTTGTAGGCATCACATTCTCACATGACTGCTTCCCAAAACAAAATCTGTTCTGATGTCTGGGATGGGGAATAGAATTCCCCGGTTATTTACAGTATGTTCACAGTCTTGTATCCTGTGGCCTCATTGAGCTTGTTTATTGGTTGTAGTAGTATTTTTATAGATACCTTAAGATTCTCTCTCTCTACAACAGCATGTCATTTGCAATTAGAAAGTAGTTTTACTTCCTTTCCAATATCAATATTTCCCTCCCCCCCCCCACTTTGGTCTAATTGCCCTAATTAGGTAAATTTGGAATAAATGTGGCGAGAATTTTCTCTCTATATCTTGTTCCTGTTCTTAGTAGCATAGAAATCAGTCTTTCACTGTCAAATATGTTAGCTATGGGAAGTTTTTAAAATAACTTTTTAAACTTACTTATTAACCTTATTTCTTTAAAAGCTAATCTAGGGCCTCCCCGGTGGTGCAGCAAAGTGAGCGCTGGGTTGGGATGCTACCCACAGCCTCTGCAGCGCCGGTTTGATCCCCAGCTGCTCCCTGGCCACTGGAGGAGGGTCCCATATGGCGGGCAGACCTCCTGCCGCCCGCTGCTCCCCTCAGCAGTGTACTTTGGTCCTTCTGCCTGCTCTGCTCCCTGCTCTGGCTCTGGTGAATTCTCTCACCCTCCCGCGCTTCTGACTGTACCCAGTGCTTGTATAAATAAATAAATCAATCTTAAAAAAAAAAAAAAAGCTAATCTACCAAGCATTTTGGTAGAATACAGGGGTTAATTAGATATAGGCAAAAGAAAATTCTCTGAAAGAGGAAATATGGCATCATGTGAGAAAGATTAGAGGTTACTTAATAGGAATCTGAGGAAGTCAGGGAATAATTTCTAGAGGATGCAGCTGAGACCTTAGAGATAAATAGGGTTGACCATACAAAAGGGAAGAGAATAGAAATATCAAGGCAAGTTGTGGACTGCCTGAGAAATTCAGTATTATTTTCTAGAGCATAGACTTCAAGGAAGTGGTACTAAGATGATGCTGCAACAGATGAGCAGGTCTAGATTCTAAAGGTTCACATGAAACTGGTTTGCACATTTAGACTTTGAGCTGAAAACAACCAAAAGTCATTGGAGGATTTTAAGAAAAAAATTGAAAAAAAAAAAAAAAAAAGGAATTTATCATCAGATTTGCAATCTTGAAAAACTGTAATTCCCTTTTTGGGCTAAAGACCAGAAAATTAGATAGAGGGCTATTGCAATGCAGGACGATGTGATGGTACATGGGATGAGGTTGTTACAGAAGTGGAGATAATAGAAAGATTCTAAAGATTTAGGAGGTAGAGTTGAGTGTTAAGAGGAAGAGTAGGCAAGAATGAATATTAGAATTTTGCTCAGGGCAAATAGGTGCATGATGTTATTCTTTACTGACTTGAGAAATACAGAAAAAGTTTGTAATGGGTTAATGAATTCCGTTTCGGAAATTTTGAATTTGAGTTGCCATAGGTAGTTGGATTTGATACCTAGAGCACTAGAACTCGCCTGGGTCTAAATGGTGATATGGTAATTATAAATATTTTATGGTCATTGGAGACATGGCAGGGGTTAAATTCATTCATTTAACAAAAATTCATTTACCAGTGCACAAAGCCTTTAGAAATGGTTCACAGAACTCATTTTTTTCTACTGTCCAAGAAAACCTCTGATCTTCTTCCATCTTATCTCTTCCCTCCCTGTTCTTTTTTCCCCTCCCCTCACCATAAAACAGTAATTTTACATAAAATATTAATTACATATTACTGAAGTAGTAGTAACGTATGCTACTATTAGTTTCTCATTCTTCACTTGTTCTTCATATAGTGTTGATTTTAGAGAAATTTTAGTTTTACAAAGATAATAATTGTGTTGTTACCATAATATTTGTTTCAATTTTAGTGTCCTGAAGACTTTTCTACATGATCCTCTTGTGGAATGGAGTAAACCAGTGAAAGGGCATTCCAAAGCATCACTTAATGAAACTGGGGAAGTTGTCAATGAAAAGGTTAGAAGACCATACAATTTGATATGTGCTGATATTGTCTGTTTCCACAAGTGAGAGCTGATTCAAAATAATATCAATGACTGAATCATTGAATACTCTGAAGCCTAGTTCTGTAATATGACAATGCCCTAAGTTTTTTTTCCAGTTATTGAACTGCAATATCTAAGCTTTAATCTATAGAAATTGACTTCTTACTTATATTAAAGCCTCAAAATTTGCAGTTATTTTTAATAAGTGACAATGGACTGAGAATTTTTTTTCTGATAATATCATTCTCACTTTGCATTCTCGATATGTTCTCTTAAATGAGAGAAATTACAGAATTTCAAATAGCTCACAGAGTGGTCATAATCATATACTAACATAACCTAAATGTTAGGTATTAGATTATTGGTTATTAAAATATTCATCCAAATGTTTTAAGTTATAAACACTTTCAAGATAGATTTCTTAATTATTATTTTTCTGGAATTGATATGTGGAAGCAATTCTTTGGTATTTCATAGTCTAGAAAAATGTCAAGCAGTTCATATTGGATCAACATTTCAACATACCAAAATCAATATCCCAAGTTATTGTATTTAATTTCTTCTCTTTATTTGCTCTTACCAAAAAAGTGGGTAATGCTCAGTAAAATAACATCAATATTTGTTAAGTAAAGGAAAGGTAATAATTCCAAATGATCAACATCCACATGTCATTGGGTCCTTAGTCCTTATGATTTTCAATTTCTTCTCTTTAGGCCAAGACCCATGTTCTTGACATTGACCAGCGACTGCAAGGTGTAATCAAGACCCGAAACAGAGTAACAGGGCTGCCATTGTCTATTGAAGGACATGTACATTACCTTATACAAGAAGCTACTGATGAAAACTTATTATGCCAAATGTACCTTGGCTGGACCCCATATATGTGAAATGAAATTACTTCAAGGAATATGTTAACAATTTTAAGTTAATGAATTTGGTATTAATATGTGGTGGTATCTATTCATTTCCAAAGTACAATGTAAGTTTTATGTTCTCAGAGCAACTGGTATTATTTCGCCTTGATTGTTAATAATATTTAAAATAATATATGTTATTAAGAAATAAACTACATTCTTACATACACTGTGCATTATAACTGGAGAAATGGAACATCTTAAGTTCTTTTTTTTTAAAGATTTATTTCTTTACGCATACAAGAACTAGGGTACAGGCCAGAGGTGTGCTGTGGGGTGGGGATGAGAGGATTTATCAAAGACTGAGTGGGGAGCAGAACAGGCAGATTGAATAAAATACACTGGTGACGGGAGCAGCCACAAGACAGGAGAGGTCTGCTGCACCATATGGGTCACCTCCCTTGTGGGGAGCAAACTCCTGCTGCAGTAGCTGAGAATTGCTTCATAATGCTGATGCTTAACCCCTTGTGCCACCAGGGAGGCACCAACATCTAAGTTCTTCTGCTATAAAAAGTTTATTTACAACAAATAAGTCTGCCTAATTTCATTTTACAACTTTTTTTCAGCTAGCGTAAAAGTTCATTTGAATTCTTAACTGAAATACCTTGAATTAAATAATGTGGACAAGGCACTGGGCTAGATTTGTGCACAAGAACTTGCAGGTTAGTAAGATATAAATAGCACATCAAGTTCACTAAAGCTCTCTTTTTTGTATGATTGAATATTTGATAGGGGAAAAAAATAAGCCAAGAAGCATGACTATGAAAACTAAGTAAACATGTAATTTTAAAGATGCCCCCATACTGAAAGTGTACTGACTGCAGAATCTAGTTGGTCTTGAAAAACAGCAATTCTCAAAATGTCATGAGATTTTATTTTTTTATTTATTTATTTATTTTTTTTTAAGATTTATTTATTTATACAAGCACTGGGTACAGTCAGAAGTGCGGGAGGGTGAGAGAATTCACCAGAGCCAGAGCGGGGAGCAGAGCAGGCAGAAGGACTGAAGCACACTGCTGAGGGGAGCAGCGGGCGGCAGGAGGGGTCTGCGCGCCATGTGGGACCCTCCTCCAGTGGCCCGGGAGCAGCCGGGGATCGAACCAGCGCTGCAAAGGCTGCGGGCAGCTTCGCAACCCAGCGCTCAACCGTTGCGCCACCTGGGAGGCCCCCAATGTCATGCGATTTTAAATCTAGAAATTCCTTAAATGTTTCCATTAATTTTCTTGCAGATGATTTAAAATCATAATTTTAAAGCAATGAAGTTACTACATTAAACAAGAAAATGTAACATAATTTCACTTACATTCATTTGGCAGAATTTGCGTTTTTGTAGTTGAACTTGGAGGGGGGTAAATGAAACATGAATGTGAAAAGCAAACATTTCCTACTGGGGGCTGTTTTAGGAATTATGAAGAAAACGGTGGCTATTGAAGGAAGGGGAGTCGAAATTATTTTCCCAATAAATAATTTGGAAAGGAATTTTTTAAAGAAAAAAATGCGGTAGGTGTCCATGACTCAAAGGGAAAAACTACTTCGCCAAACAAACTAAACCAAAGGAGTCACTAGACCTTCCCAAAACTGTTCAAAAGTACTGAGATCAGCCGTAATACTCATCCAGTAGCTGCGCGAGCACTTCGGAACCCAGCCCTTCAACTCACATTCTCAGAACTAAACGAAACACACACTTGCACACGTCTCCACGCTCTTTAGCGTGAACCCGGGCGCTCAGGCCCCGCCCCGGGGGCGCGGCGCTCTAGGCCCGGCGGCCGCTCTATGGTCGGCCGGGCGGCGTGTTGTCATCTGCGGAGCGACGGCGGAGGCGGCGGCGTAGGCCCCGGCGGGGCGTTTGGTTTCGGTTTGGCCTTGACTGGAATTATTGTTGACGGTCGAAATGGGAGTCCCCAAGTTTTACCGATGGATCTCGGAGCGCTATCCCTGCCTCAGCGAAGTGGTGAAAGAGCATCAGGTGAGTGATGCAGGGGCAGCCGCTCGGAAGGCCGAGGACTCGGGGCCCCACGGCCCTCTCGCCAACCGCGGGACTCGAGCTCTCCTGCCTCCGAGTTTTTGCTCGGCCTCTGGCTGATGAGAGGCCAAGAAAGGGGAACAGAAGGTTTGAGGACACCCGCTTGATCTGAACGAGAAGACGAACGCAGGCTGCGTGTCTGGGCTCGCGGCAGCTCTGACAGCTCTCCTGCCCCGGCAGGGCCCCGGCCCCTCGGAAATTAAGCGCGAGTTGGTGCGCGTTAGTGCGCGCTCCCCTTCTCTTCCCAGGGACCTGCAGGTTGACTTGTCCCTCGGATTCGCGGGTGCCCTCGTAGGGACTCTGTGCCCGTCCAGAGCACCAGACTCAAGTACAAAACAATAACCGCTTCTGCAGTTGAATCACCTTGTTTGCTTTCCTGTATCAAGATCTACATCACACCCCACCCCCAACGCCTAGGCTTTCTGACGTGAATGATGATTCATATTTGTGATACCTTTTGTTACTCTGTGCCTTTTATCTCTTGTATTCCAAAAGAAACAAACAAAAAAATATACTTGGACTGGGCGAGGGGCGGGGTGTAATTTGGAGATTTCATAGTGTTAGTTGGTGAGAAAAATTAATTGTGAAAGCACCAATACTAGCCATAATAACAAATGTATAAATCACCCCAGGGCAGCGTTTATATGTGGATTCCAAAAATGCAGCCATCTATTAGGTAAACTGCTTTATATGATATGTTAGTGTTTGTCACGTTTAATGATTTCGGTCCATCTCTTCCATTTTTTACAGAAAAATCAGTTTTGCATTTTGTACAAGTAATTGAATTAGTTATAATGGATAGTAGGACATTAGTCGTGGGAGAAATATCCGGCAAACACCATGCTATCTATTAAATTATGGCTTAATCTTTTAAAAAAAGTACTGTAAGCATGAAGGGTTAATCTTCCAGAAAGGATTCTTTGTTGCTGGAATCAATCAGATTTAGTATAAAAGGAAAAGCTTACCAAAAAACCCCAAAATGACAGTTTATCTTTAATTTACTTGAAATGTGGATCGCACTAGATTTAGAGAAACATTTCTTTACAGAGAAGTGATTAAAAAGGTACCTAGAACCTTATGGAAATGGAGACAAATGACTGGCCTCTTTTTTTTTTTTTGTTATCATTTATTCAACAAACATTTGAATACCTGTCTTGCATCAGTCACTTTATCTCTAAAATGAAAAAAATGTCATTATTGAGACTGACTTCATAATACATATTTGTTCAATAAATTTTTACTCTGCTCTTTTTTTTTTTTTTCCCAAGATTTATTTATTTATTTATACAAGCACTGGGTACAGCCAGAAGCGCGGGAGGGTGAGAGAATTCACCAGAGTGGGGAGCAGAGCAGGCAGAAGGACCGAAGTACACTGCTGAGGGGAGCAGCGGGCGGCGAGAGAGGTCTGCGCGCCATGTGGGACCCTCCTCCGGTGGCCAGGGAGCAGCCCGCTGCCCCACCGGGGAGGCCCTACTCTGCTCTTTATTAGCACATAATTTTGTTTGATGAAAGTGTCTTGGTGTCTCCCCAACTTAAGGAATTTTGTTGCTGAACAAAAATCCCTTTAAGACAATTTTATGATGTGAACACTGAGGATAGATTTAAAACCTGTTTGATCAAAAGGATGTCATTCAAAAATGTTTGGTTAGTGTAGATAGCCAAAATAAACATGCTATAAAAGGTTAGCAACTACTCTCTTACTTTAAAATAGCAGTATCTAAGTAAGTCACAATGATTCAAAAGCTAGTCCTGATGGGTTCTGGGAAAGTGGCAGTAGTGACAGTATCATAGTTTTTGATATCTGTATCCTGACATAAAAAAACAGAGCAACTAGGTAGCAAAATTTAAAATCCATAAACAATCCATAGAACAAACAGAACTGTGTAACAGGATACTCCATGAACCCCAAAATACAAGTAGGTGAAGCAAACTACTAAGAGCTCAAATCTTTGCAAGGTGAAGAATAAAGAAGATGAGCAACATTTGCTGAACAGAAGAACTCTATAATATTCACTAAAAGACTATATGGGCTGGGCCTCCCCGGTGGCGCAGCGGTTGAGCGCTGGGTTGTGAAGCTGCCCGCAGCCTCTGCGGCGCAGGTTCGATCCCCGGCTGCTCCCCAGCCACCGGAGGAGGGTCCCACATGGCGCGCAGACCTCTCCTGCCGCCCGCTGCTCCCCTCAGCAGTGTACTTTGGTCCTTCTGCCTGCTCTGCTCCCCGCTCTGGCTCTGGTGAATTCTCTCACCCTCCCGCGCTTCTGACTGTACCTAGTGCATGTATAAACAAAAAAAAAAAAAAAACCCAAATAAATAAATAAAACATGCCTCTATTAAAAAAAAAAAAAAGACTATATGGGCTAATTAAATAACAATACCTATGATTGATGGCACAGCAGACCTCTCCTGACTGGCCCCCTGCTCCCCTCAGCAGTGTATTTCAGTCAGTCTGCCTGTGTTCTGCTACCCACTCTGTCTCTGGTGAATCCTCTTACTCCCCTGCATCTCTGGCCTGTACCCCAGCTCTTCTGTGCATAAATAAATAAATCTTTAAAGGAAAAAAACCCCAATATCTATGATTGAGGGGTTTAAAAATGCAGCAGCAATCTGCTTCCTATGACCTCTTCAAACTGACTTGCCAAGGCACCATAAACCTGTGGAGAAATTGATCAGAGTGAAATAAAATTTTATCAGAAAAGAGATGCTAGAGAAGAAAAGAAGATATAGATAAAAGTGGGGAAGGTTACAGAATCACAAAATCTTGAAAAATAAAGCTCACATTTTTTAACACTACCCCAAAACGGAAGAGGGAGTTTTATTAAGTTAAAGCTTTCTTGAACCTTTCCTCATACTGAAAGTTCAGGACAATTAAATTTACATAAAAGTGAACAACAGAAAAAGATTGAGGTTAAATAGCATACAAAGTTTTAAAAAAATGAAACAAACTAGAATCCCTACAGACAAAAAAAAAGCTTGTAGTAAAAATGTACACACTAAGCTTACACACTATATTTCAGAATGAGCTAAAATGTACAAGAAAATGATATCACATGAAAGAACAATATGTATCAATTATGAAAACTCAGGAATAAGGTGACAAAATCTCGGAAAAAAAAATTTGAAATTATATGTCAGAAGAATATAGGATTCCCCACTATACAAACATAGAATGTTGTTTGATATGATTTAATGGGTTATATTTTAGATTTGGGAGTACTTTTAGCATTAATTTGTATGGAAAATTTTTTAGCATTTCCAACCCCCCAAAATCACTTACCAAATCATACCAAATAAGACCATTCTACTTTTGTATACCCTGGGAAACCTGTATACCATGTGCCTAAGAATATCGATAAAGATGACAAATACCAACACATATGCCTAGTAAAATTACTGGGCTTTAAAGAAAAGAAAAAAAATACTTTGGTCACCTAGAAGAAAGCAACATATGACTTATTGATATAAGAGAAAGAAAATTAGGTTCCCATCATAGTTTTTGACCGCAGTTGCTTTATGTCAGAAGAATATGGAGTAACGTTAAATAGCCAGATGACTTTTGAGTGTAAAGGATTAGTGTACCACAATTTAGTGTACCACAATTCAGGGAATAATGTTCCTTTGATCATTTCCTTAAGGAATCCAGTAGAAAATGAGCTCCAAACACTCAAAATGAAAGGGAGATTTCAACATAAGACTGTGGTGAACTTTAAATATATTTCTATACGAAGAAAACGGGAGTTAAGGGGGAGAAAATGTAGTTAATATTGGCAGTATGCTCTAATGATGTATACACAGTGCAACGATAAAAAAGATTGAAAACTAGGGAAGGCTTTTTTTTTAATATTTTATATAATTCTTACATCATTTTTCATTTTTATACAATGTATGCTTTTTCATTTTGGTTATATTCCCCATACAATTGCACTCCCCTTTATTTTGACCCTAATCCTTCCCCTGCCCCCCCCCCATAGTGTGTCTCTAGTTTATAGTTGCTTGTTGATTTTGATTTTTACTTTGTATTAATTAGTCTTTTTCCTGGTCCCTTATTTAGGTTTTCTAAATTCTTGTTATGCATGAGACCATCCAGTATTTTTCTTTTTCTTTCTGACTTAGTTCGCTGAGCATGATCCCTTCTAGCTCCATCTGTGTTGCTGCAAACTGCATGTGTTTATCTTTTTTGATTGCTGAGTAGTATTCCATTGTGTATATGTACCACATCTTCTTGATCCAGTCATCTATTTTTAGGCATTGGGTTGTTTCCAAAGCTTAGCTATTGTAAACAGTGCTGCTATAAACATAGGGGTGCAGGTGCTCTTTGGAATTGATGTTTCTGTGTCCTTTGGGTAAATACCTAGGAGTGGAATTGCTGGATCATATGGAAGCTCCATCTTTAGCAGGCTGAGGAATCTCCACACAGCTCTCCATAGTGGCTGGACCAGTTTGCACTCCCACCAACAGTGCAGGAGAGTTCCTTTTTCTCCACAACCTCGCCAACATTTGTTGTTGCTAGTTTTTTTATTATGTGCCATTCTCACTGGTGTGAGATGGTATCTCCTGGTAGTTTTGATTTGCACTTCCCTGATTACAAGTGATGTTGAACATTTTTTCATATGCCTGTTGGCCATTTGCATTTCCTCTTCAGAGAAGTTTCTTTTTAGCTCTTCTACCTATTTTTTGACTGGGTTATTTTCCTTGTTTTTGTTGATTCTCTTCAGTTCTTTGTAGATTTTTGTGATCAGTCCTTTATCATTAGTGTTGTATGCAAAATGTTCTCCCAGTCGGTGGGATTTCTCTTTGTTTTGGTTATTGTCTCTTTTGCTGTGCAGAAGCTCTTTAATTTGATGTAGTCCCAGCTGTTTATCTTTGCCTTCACTATCACTGCTTTGGGTGATGTGTCTGTAAAGATGTCTTTGAAGTGCATGTCATGTAGTTGAAAACTAGGGAAG